CGAACGTCGGGGCGGGATGCTGAGGGAGCGTCGGGATGCTAAAGCGAACGTCGGGCGGGATGCTAAGCGAACGTCGGGCGGGATGCTAAGCGAACGTCGGGCAGGATGCTAAGCGAACGACTGGGCGGAGGCGGAGGCGGAGGCGGAGGCGGAGGCAGAGGCTAAGCGAACGACGGGCGGGGAAGTGAGCGTCAGGGATTTATTCCCACGTCTCCCATCCATATTCAACGCCATGCTAGGCGCTTCGGCAGCTATTCTCCGATTGCCCTGACTAAGGAAGCCTCGGATGCAGTACATTAGCCGGCCAATAGCCGCGTCAATGTGCGATCAATGCTACCCCAATCGCCCGTCGTGCAAAAAAACGGCTAAATAGCCGTGGTATACGACAAGCCCGTCCCCGGCTATTAGCCGCGACTGTTGCGCAAAACTAGATGCCACCGCTGCATGTGAATAGCTCGTGAAGGTTGGCGTACCGTGCAGCAGCGTTTCGCAAAACGTATATATCGCCCATGATCTCGCCGGAAACGTGGTACCAGCCATGTCGGCGGGGCTGCGGAGAGTCTGCGCTTGGCAGCCGCGTTCCGCATGCTTCACTTTATAGATTCTGTCGCGCTGCGTCATTAGCTCTATTCGAGGCCCTGTCCCGTCAACACGCGGCGAAGAAGCATCGGTTCTTTGCATAGACGAACACTGCTAGTACACAGGCATATCCCAACAGGCGGAATTCCTTGACCGCTGCGCGAGAAACGCAGCTGGTACTGTATGTGTGCGCACACGAGAGCTCGGCGTACCCGTTGGGCGGTGATAGCGAAGTAAGCGGCGAGGTTTCAATCGAGGTGGGAAGGACTGACACTTAAATAGTCTTATAGAAGGTCGGTGACAGAACGTCATATCGGGGCGCATTGAGATGGATTTGGGCGGGTCTAAACGTATTGCCTTGGCGGCAGCTAAGCTTGGATACGTGCCGGCCGCAATGCCATCTACTGATTGTGGCGGGTGCTATGTCCATACAACGCGTTACTTCCGAGATCACCACAGTACGTGTCAAATCAATGGCGAACGGACGACAGGAAAGAAGACGCGATCAACCGCATGGACCAGTGACGAGCCCGCACGCAAGATAGATTCCTCCATAGCGTAATCAACGGGAAGACGCCCAAGCATTAATGGGGTAGTGGTAACCTGGGTCGTTGCCAGCGAATCCGTTCGATGGACGAGTTCGACCCGCCGGGGGTTCGATTCCCCCTTAATGCAATGACTTTTGCGGTTGACTGACGCCTCTCATTTTTCAAGTATCCCTTTCCCGTTCGATGGACGAATTCGACCCATCGGGGGTTCCCTTCCCCCTGAATGCAATAGCTTTTGCATTTCATGCTATAGTCTCAACTTTTCGATTCTTATCCTCCTGTTCGATCGACGAATTCAACCCGCATGAGATTGGATTCCCCCGTTATGCAATAACTTTTGCATCCATGCCATGGTCTCACTTTGGATCTTGCCCTTCTCCTCTGTGGACGAGTTTGACCCGCCGGGGATTCGTGCCGCGCCCTGTTCTGTGCTGCATCTGGACCACCGGGGTTCGCTGTCGAACATTCTCCCTGGGGCAAGTACAAACATCGCGCGTTAGATCCAGCAGTTCATCTGCCCTGCTTATATTTAACGATCATATATTCTTCGTCTTCCGGCATACAACATCGCGGCCGCCATCGTGTCGTAAAATACTCCCTTTGTTCGTCACTTCGCCTGCGGACACGAGATCAAGGAAGGAGCAAGAAAAGGGCGAGGAGGCGTTCGAAGTTAGGTGTGCCGACACCTGAACAGACACGCGATGAGAACGAGACAAAGTCGGCGGGAGAGACTCGACTCACCTGTGACAGGATCCCATCCGGTCGTTCTGGTAGAGCAAGGACAGGGTCAATCACGAGCTGACGTTTACTGTTGATTATGCTGCGCAACGACTTACGACTCGAAGCCCGGTGTACCTGTTAAAATGTAAACTCTGGGTTTCACTCTTCAGAAGTTGGCACTCACCACAACCCTGGTTGCCTCCCGTGGTGATGTCATTGAAAGCAATCTTGAAGGCATCAGTATAGATCTGGAAAAGTGGGCTCTATGAGATTCAACAAAGATCCGGGGGATAGCTACGCACAGCTGGGTTGATGAAGCCTGCGGGCAATCCGTTATTACTGAGCCGGTCGTAAGAATATCGATTCCTTGCTCACCGACAGGTCCTTTGCCGATCGCGAGGCGAGCGTCGTTGATGAGCGTGATGAGGGACCCTACGACAGGACTCGAACTAAGACGATAAGGCGACACATCACAATCGGCTCCCGAAGACACGTTGCGAAGACGCTCACGCGGATGTGCCGAAGACGAGCTCAAACTCGCCATCGATGCCTGGTGCAAAGAGCGAGTGTTAATGTCACATCCATACTCAGGCGTCGATGTCATGAGTACCGATTACGTAGTTGGCGCTGTAACGAAGGATGCGTTAGATCGAGAGTGTGCATTGGCAACATTGTAATGCTCACCCGTTGGCGCTGAGGTCCGGGAAGGCCCTGACAACCCCCGAGTTGTTGAATTGGGCAGCCGTGTACGGCGGCGGGTGGTTCTTCAAGAAGCTCTTGACGGCCGTTTCTTGATACTGCGGAGGAACACAGATTCCCGTCAGAGGCTTGCACCTCCCCGAAAGCGCGAAAAAAAAACAGACATACTTTGGGCATGGCGAAGATGTTGGAGAATCCACCTACGCGACAGCGGATCAGTCACATCCTGAATCGACGCTAGAGCAAAAACGTTGCGGCAACGTACCTCCACTGAAGATCACCTGCTCGCATGCGCTCTCTGGGTCGTTCACGGTCGCATTCGGGTTCACCTGAGTCGCGCCGACCGCCGTCACGAACGGGCACGTCACCGGGAACCCTGGGTTGAACCGCGTTCCGTTCGGGTCCTCCTGGTCCGTCGCGTTGATGCACGTGTTCCCAAAGCTCGCGACGCCGTTGTCGCCGGAGGAGTAGAGTACGCTAGTCCCGAGCATCCCGAGCTTGCCGTACTCGGCGCATTGGCGTTGCGCGTAGGCGGACGTGACGGAGTGCTCGGACTGGCCGTAGGAGACGGAGACTACAAACGGAGGCTTGATGATTCCGCACGACTCGGGTCCTGTGAGGCGGCGTTAATAGGTGACGGGATTTCGAGCGAGGGTGAAGGCAGTCGAACGGAGCGAACCTTCGAATGCGCCTGCGCCACCGATAGGGTCTGGATAGATCCCGTCCTGCGTCGGGTCGTCGCCGCCCTCGAAGGTGCAGAAAGATGCGTCGACAGCGTCGAGCCAGTTGTTGAAGGATGCGCCTGAAGGTTTGCCGTCAACTATAATGCCATGCCGGTTCTGACCGATATATGCATGCCTTCAACAAGGTCACCGGCTTGCAGAAGAGTTATGGGTTGCGCTGCACTCCAACATGAGACGTGAACCACTGCCGAGACACATAGGAATGATGCATACGGTTTGTGAGTGCCATGGCGTATTCGAGGTCGAGATCGCTCTCGCCATTGAAGTTGAAGCTTTGGTCTTGAGTCTGCGCGACACCTCCATCGATCGAAATGAGGTTCGGCCTCTTCCCCAGAGCGTTGGGGGAGAAATTCCTGAACCCCGGGTCAATGAGTGGATCAGATGAAGGTGACCGCTACGCACGTGAAGAAGAGGTCCAAATCATCGGCAAGGAATGCTTGCGGCGTAAACTCCACTAAGATAGGTCGTTCACACAGCGTCGCACCACGTACATACGAAGAGACGCACCAATTCCATACGAGTTTTTCTTGGTCGCGATCGGCGTATAGTGCACGTTATACAACGCCCTCAAGCAATCTGGCGTGATGAACCTGGCGAATCGATGATCGTTGAGGACAATCTAGAGCGCACAAGATGCGCAGGTCACGTACTGGTCGCACGTCGCCAGGTTCGGCGTGATCTTGACTTTCTGACCGTTCGTCTTCGGGCCCGTGTGCGCTGACGGCTGGCCCATGCGCGAGCCATCTCCAGAGCGCTTGTGCAGGGGCTCGGAACGCATGACATGGTTGAAGTGGACGGTGGGCGTGATCAAATCAACGTGTTCCCGGATCTGCTCTGGGACGGAGTAGGAGGGGCAGCTGATCTGTTCGAGGCCGGAAGAGTGGGTATAGACGTGGTACTCCGTCTGAAGGAGATCTTCCGCCTGGTGGATGAAGCGTAAGGGTTCCTCACCAACTAGCGCGTATTCGAATACTTACCTCTGCGACGGTGACGTTGAACTCCAACCATCCCTTACTCGGGCTCATCTTCATCCTGCCTGGTGCGATGCCAAACTCCGTCAACCAAGTTTTGACCGCTTCAACGGTGTCCTCTGCCGGTTTGAAGAAGTCAACGACCTCAGCCGGAGTCCAATGCATGCCGTAGTTGTCGCTCTCCGGATGCGCGACCTCCATCAACATGTCCTCGAGTAGGTGAAGATTGCGCTGCGCGAGGCCGACGCGCATAGGTAGCACCGCGGCCGGATCTGCGCGGCGCGCGCTGAGCCAGTGTTCAGGCGATGGCTCCGCTGCGCGTTTCTCGTGCACGACATGACGCCGGTGGACGGACGGGATAGCGAGAGCGGCACCGAACGTGGCTAGCGTCGCGAGGGCACGGAAGAGGCGCATCGTTCCTATTCGAGCACGAGGGGCTCGACACACCCCTCATCGCTCGAGATACGGCGCATATAAGCGACGAAATTCGGTTCGTCGGGTGCGGTCCTGAGTGGCGTGCGCCATGCGGGAGGTCGGAGCGTTCACGGCTCTGCGCGTGGTCGCGCTCGCCATCGCGGGCGTGCTCCTTGGGGATTGGTATAGCGAGTGCACGGTGTGGGCTCGCGATCGGACGGGTCGGTCAGGAGCCTGCCCCGTATATGTGAGATGTTCCCTACGGGTGTGCTTCGCGCGGGATTCTCGTGAGGTACCGGGGCGAGATGCTGCGGAAGGATGAGAACGCGAGAAGAGAGAAGCGTAGACGGGGACCGACAGATATCGAAGACGCGCTGTGAGGCCGGTTATAGAGAGGGGCAAGTCCGTATTCTTGGTCACGGTGGTGGGTGTCTCTGTGAAAAGCTGGGAGTTGATAACGAGCCGGGACTTACATGCTTCGACCTGTCGCAAGCGTCTCAAGGGTAGCAAGATATAGTTCCGCGGCGTCGCCCGGGTCGTTGTGCCACAGTTTGATACATACCAAAATCATATCCGTGTTTGCTCCGTTAATCTACTGTATTGGTGCACGACGACAGGGCTGCTTGTTCGTGACCGTGACCTGCCCCGCTGTTCGTTACTTACATGGCACGTCACGTCACTTATCCCGTTGAGCTTTTCCCTGATCAGCGCTCAGCAGCCAGCTGTACTCTGTTTTCTCTGTTTGACTAACGCATATGCACGATATAATCACCGCTTCAGTTTTTGAATCGGCTTAATCCCGTAGCCCATCTCCTATCCGCAGGGTACCCGAGCGAACAATATTCTCGAAGGTCCGAAGCAGCGTCGATGGGTGTCGGCAACGGCCAGATTGACCAACGCGATGCAAATACCGCGCCGGCGGAACGCCAGAGCACCTCGCCGCGGCTCTGGAGAAGGATGATATCCTGCGGGAACGAAGGGAGTGCGCGACGACTCTCGTTCGCCCGATATCGAACGGCGTACCGATGAGGAGCCTGCAGATATCACAAGGATGATTGCGTTGGCGCGCGGAGGATCGTTGCTTCACAATTACGGCGCGTTGCATATCTCAGTCGTACCCCGCAATCCTACATGAGACCGGCGCCATATCTGCAAGCACACGAACTCTCGCCATAGGCGTCGGCAAGCGCTCTATCAGACAGGCAGCCGTGCACGCCGCTCCGGTACGTACCTGCTCCTCTCGTTCATATTATCGTCTGCTCACCGGAGGATCGTTTTCACGTAGGCGATCATCTCATCTCACCATCGCCTCCGCCCCCATCCAAAACGAAGTAATCAAAGCAGTCTGAGCTAGTAAAGCACGCCGTGTACGGTTCCGCACTGGCTAGGCCTTCATCAACGGCGATACCCCAACTTTTCCAGACGCAACTACCCGTCTACGAAAGCAACATTCAAGGCGAAGGCGGCCTCTCGGAGCGAGCTCGCGATGGGATGGGTCGACGCGAGTCGTACGCATATATGCGAGTGATAGCGGGTGGGTAAGGCAGATAAGATGAGAGTGCATGATCGTCGTTAGGCCCGAGGACCACGTAAGCAGACACATTGTGCGTCAAGTATTCACTGTCCAATCTCATTGTTCAGGATCTTCATCCGTGTAGAATACAGGGGGTTATGCTAGACTACACTTTTGGTCACTTCTCCTTCTTCGTCAGCGCGGTAGCTGCAGCATCCTTTTCGCGCTCCTTCTCGGCCTTCTCAACCACAGTAGCCACGTCCCAATCATCCTTGAAGTACTTGTTCACCGTCGAGTTATCTGCGTCGCGAAGATCGGCCTCGAGCTTGTTGAGGTTAATCTTAGAGTCTTCCTCCTTTATCGTGTCGATCATATCTTCAGCAATCTGTGTATCGCAAACAAAGTCAATGCATCATTAACGAGGTGCGGGTGTGGGTGCTTACGGCGGAGGCGGCGCCGGTCTGGCCCTTGTTGAGGAGGTTGAGATACGTCGTGCTCGTGCTCATCTGCTCGGTGACGTGTCGCGCCTGCTGCTTGATCGCGTCGATGACCAGGCGGACAACCTGAGTCTCGTGGATGCCTTCAATAAGCTTGTCCTTCCTGAACGGAACGTGAAGTTGATGGTGACAATGTCATGCATGGTAGAAAAGCTTACTGTTGTCCACCGACGATGACCTCGATCAGCGGCGCGACGCCCACGAGTACGACGCCAAACCACGAAAGCCATTTTCCGATCTTGCCCAGGAACTTGAACAAGCGCGCAACTTTGCTTTCCTCTGATCGAGTGTAAGCGTTTCCTGGTAGGTGTCAAGTCAAATGCTACGTACGACCTACGAGGCCAGCCGCTTCTTTCCCGGCTGCATGAACCAAACCAAGTATCAATAAAATGCGGAGCAGATAGAAAAACAAGCGCGACTTACTCTGCGCGATGGCTCGAGCCCGAGCGGCGGCGTTTGCGACGGCTGATTGAGAGCGATATTCCGTCAGTCGATGTGGAAGAAATGAAGGCGGTTGGATCATGCGTACCTTCTCCAACGGCAGCTGCGCCACGCGCCAGACCGGGAATCGCCTCGACGAACGCGGTGACGATGGCGCGAACGGCTTGTATGGCGGCGATGCCGCGCACGAGCGCCATAATCGCCTTGCCTGCAAGTACGGTCAGCTGGACTCGCGACTTTGCAAGATGAAGTTCGTACTTCCGAGGGATACGAGCTTGCCACCTCCGAGGAGGAGACCGATCCAGAGCATCGTCTCCGTGATCTGCAGAGACGTCAACAAGGAGTTCAAACAGCACAAATAGTGGTTCTTACTTTAGCCACTTCTTTCGTAGACGAAATCAACTAAGGAGATCGTCAACATAAAGACTCCTCCGAGGTCAGATCCAAACGACCTACAGCCTCAAACTCGTGCTTCTGCTCATCAGTCAGCTTGCTCATCGCCTCGTTCTTGAGCGCGGCGAGGGTCTTGATCTTGCCCTCCTTGAGCAGCGCGTTGAGGATCGTCTGCGACTTCTCGTCGAGCTCGTCCATGCGCGCCTTCTCCTGAGAGATGTCGGTCTGCAGCACGCCGATGTTGTTGATCAGCTGCTGGAGGCGGTCCGCGCGGGGGACGTTGTCTGCGGAGGCATGGTGGTTAGATGAGCGAGGACGGGAGAGATTGAGCGGCGGCTTACCGGGGTAGAAGACGGTCATGTCGATTCGATTTGAAGGTGTGGCGACGAGGGAAGGTTGGTGGTTGGAGTCGTATGGCTTTGTGTAGAGTATTTTATACGCGGCAGCTCGGACTATCGTCTCCTCATCTCCTCGGAAACTGGGTTCTGCCACATACGCATCCGGTGTCAATCACAACCGGGATGTTATGTCGCCATAGCGGTAGCACAAAGCCTGGCAGACGAAGAAGCAGGGTGCAATGGAGACTTGACGTCCGGCCTTGACGAGTGTCCGCGATCGGTGCGGGCCCGCGACCGAGGGTACTGATTGCATTCGGTGCTTCATGTATGACATTGATAGGACACGTAATTACGAAGGATGCGAGGCGACAATGAGATCGGGACTAGAAACCTGTGTGGATGGCAGGGAGGTAGAGCAGAAGACTCGTAAGTCTGTAGCCGTTCTATTAGCAGACATCCTTGAACGTTACGCCGAGTGTCTTGCAGTCAATTATGTTGCTGTTCATGACAGTTGAGTTGAAGTCAGGAGCTTTTTTGACCAGGAGCAAACGCGTAAGAATGCATGAACTCGCGTGCTCGTGGACTTCGGCAACTTCGAGTACACGCTGTCAGTTCAATGCACCACGTGCATTACCGCGGTCACGGAGCTAAAATGAAACGCCGTTACTTCACATGTTCGAATTACTAGTCCTTCGTGTCCGACTTGGAACTACGGAGACGCTCTTTCGCCGACGCCCATCATAGCATGCGCGTCATGGGGTACTGTACTATTTGGCTACGCGCTATTTAGCACATCGACGCGGTCCTGGCTAAATCAGACAATACTCTGAGATCTCGAAACGCACTACTATACCTCGCAATCATGGGTAACTCTCAATCTCTCTTCTACCCAGACAACCCCAACAGGCGCGCTCGCGCTCAGCAGCTCGCCGACGACTGTCAGTCGTTCAAGCACGATTACGAAAAGATCAAGGCCGAAGTCGAAAAGGAACTCGGCCCTTACAAGGAGAAAGTCGCCAAAGTCTTGCACGCGTTTGGGTGCAAGAACCTCGATGATCTCGACAAGCTGGTGCGCAGTACCGCCGTCGGCGAGAACCTGGAAAAATGGATTGAAATTAAGAGCACTGTGGACGACCTGGATACGTAAGTCTACATGGGAGATTTGGTTTTGAAGAATGTTCGCTCATGTCACATTAGTGCTAGCGAAGTATTCTCGACCGCGATGGCCATGTAAGTCGTCTATAGTGACCCACAACTTCCGCTGATCAACACTGCGAATAGTGTCGCTATTGCCGGGATAGCCATCAGTATTGTAGGCGCTCTCGCCGGTGGCTTTGGCTTTTTCGCCGGCAAGTCTCTCTCGAGGTTTACATTCAAGCAAACCAGCTTACGTTTATTATCCAGGGATCGCTGTCACGACCGATATCCTCTTGGTACTGGGAATTATCGGGGCCATCTTTGACGCCATTAGCGGGGCTGTTCAACGCTCCCAGCTGCGTGACGCTATCAACTCGGTAAGTGTTCTCGGGGGCTCTGCATCATACCGCTCGACTAAGTACGCAATGCTAGCTTTATCCATCTCGCATCAAGATCAAGTACTTGCTGGAACATAGCAGGCATCCGTTTTTTCCTCGCAATCGTGATAGTTATAACTGATAATACGTTCAGACTGATACAAATCAATATCTCCGGCATTAAGAAGCTCTATAGGATCTTCGAGAAAGCCGGATATGATAGGGACATGATCATCAAAGAGCTGCGCGAAGGCGACGTCATGAAGAACCTGCAGGAGAGTAACGCTGCCGCTACCTACTACGAAATCGCCAAAGGCTTGGTCGAGCATGACCGTACCCGACCCGGAGGCGCATGGACAAATGAGGACCCCGGATGGGAGGCCATCGCGCACTCGCTCGATGCGGAACTTGAGGCGAAGAAACGAGCCGCTCGCGGGAAAACGGTCGCGTTCCAGCCTGCCATGCTCATGTCCACTTCTGCGATTGGAGCTTCGCACACTCAGCCTTTGAGAAGGATGGCGAATGATATCATGCCCGAGGTCTGCATGCGACATCTTACTTGTGATTGCGCCCTTACACTGCAACGTAGCCTCTGACCTCTGAGATGCGCGAGTGCAACCTCAGCCTTGATCGCCTCAGATACATGAAGGAACATAAGATGAAATACGAACCGCCATCGTCTGAGGTGAGCTGCGAGAAATCGCTCCGAGGCTTTCGCCGATTTTTTCTCCAGGGTACCACTGCCCAGATCACGGTTGTTTTGGAGCCAAAGGGCACGAAGACCATCTCGCCCTTGCTACAGGGTCCTATGCATATAGCTCTGGGGTCCTTCCTCAACGCAACAGCAGCTGTTGTCCACGTTCAGTACGTCCATCCAGTTCCTTGGCGTGACTTGGATATCAAACGTGTTCATCTAGGACTAGAACGCACGACACGCTTCAAGCCGACGCGACCCATCTGAAAATCCGCACGGAGCACGCTGCAACTTCTTCGGTGAGTCCCATCTTCGCCTCGATATGAGCCTTTGTGAAATGACACATCTCATCAGACCGCCTGGATCATCTCCTTTGCGAACGCTGCCGAAGCAGCCAGCTTCGCGGGCAATCACGGCGCTGATTCGAAAACAATGCACTCTCTTTCCGTGGAGGTTTCTCTACGTGTCGAGACGCCGGACACGCTTTACCTGGCAGCGGATGGAAGTCTCTCGCGAACCCCTGTGAAGTCTTCGAGCATCTTCATGGCGCGTTATGCCTGAATCGTCGTGATCGACCTCATGTATTCCGATATCAATAATTACAACGTCATCCGAACGTGATTTTCGACATCTTTTGTACACCGGAATGGGTTGAAGAAAGTCAACACCTGAGCATGCGAACTTGACCGCCACGTGCCGGACTCTCCTAGCCAGCTCCCAGCTGTTGACATCGATATCGGATTGATTTCTTCAAGTGATTTGGCTCCTGCCAAAGTACGTCATTGCCTCAAGCCTGCGATGTCGAAGCAAAGAATTCCCAGGCGACCGGCATGTCAATGTCAATGTGTGTGAGTCCGATCATCCACGCACCGGCTTCGGTGTCACGGAATCAAATGCTTGCACCTGCTCGACGCCAGAAGGCCCGCAGATACTTCGCTGTCAGCGCATGCAATGCATATGGCGACATACATAACATTACGGACGGTCGGCATCAAGACACCTCCGAGGGCTGGTCTCTTCACATCTACCCTGCTGTGACGATGACGATGAGTTTGGGGTATGCCCCGCGCACTATTTAAAACAAATGCGTTGCTGTATCGTCTACAGAACCACTTTGCAATCTGTCTAGCGCAACTGATCTGCACCATGTCTACACCTCATCTATTCCCCGGTACGTTGTCTGATCACTCGCTTTTATACCATTGCTTACTGATTACTACTTAGATAACGTCAAGCGGGCGGACAGGTTACAGCAGCTCATCAACCACATCGGCGGGCTTCAAAGCGACATTATCAAAGAGAAGCGCCGAATGGACGAGTTAGACAAGGCCGCGCGAGCGATCTTGGACGAGTTGCTTCATAAAGGCGATATATCGACCTTGGAAGAGCTCAAGAAAAAGGCGATGAGCAAGCTCACAGAAGAGCAACGCCGTACCTATCAGACCGTACGTTATCCAGTCCATCTACTCAATCCTGATCTAATAAGCAAGCTTCCAGTTGATTGACGCTACCAGGACCGTTCACCAGGTAGGTCAGAGATATGTGTTGAGGCATCTCGTCAATAATGCGAGTTAGATTGGCGAAACGATGTTCTGGGCGGCACTCGTTATCGGGGGTCCCGAACTAGCCAAGTTAGGCGGTGAGTGTCGTCCAATTCAGAGTGGGCCTGATCACCAATCGCCTCGCTCGTAGGAACCGCAATTATGGGTCTCTTCAAAGGCGCTTCTAGTATGCAAGCCGTGCAAAGCTCAGTCAGCGCACTCGTCGATACGCTCGTGAAAGCAACAGCCGGAACTGCAGCTGCCGCTGGCGAAGGTATGCGGTATATTGCTACGCTGGCATGCGTTATCGACTGACATCATCGATGTAGGTGTTGCACAGGCTGCGCAGACCGCGTTGAAGAGCGCTGAAGGTAAAGCTCGTAATCTACTTAAGATACACGGAGCCAAAGTAACGCGCTCTCTGTTTGGTAGCTGGAGAAGGTACTGTTATCGCTGCTGAAGGTGAGTATATCTTTCTGCAGAATTCGTACGGCGTCAACTTAAGATACACCAGAAGGAGCCGAAGTCACCAAGAGCATTGGCTTCCTCGGTAAATACGGCAAATGGTTCTCCCGCTTTGGGGTTGTAATCTTGGTGGCGACACCTATCGTCGAGCTCTTCCTCGGTGCTCGGCAGTGAGTTTCTATAAAGACGATCGCATACTTCAAGATATTCATTCTGTTGTATGCAGGAAAGAGCGACTCATTGACGGCATTCACGAGACGCAGGTGGCTCGTTTGGTAGTCGATTGCCTGCGAGAGCAAGCTCGGAAACTCACCGAACAAATGACCTCGATCAAGACCTACCTCGATATGCTGAAGAAAGGAAAAAAGAGCGAAGCAGCAGCCGTGAGTAATCTAATTTGATATCATGTGCTCAGTAAAGGTATCCTGAATGGAACATACGCAGTTCGGCAAGGAACTTCTGGGCACGATCAGGGCCGCCAACGCGGGGATCGACTTGGAGAGTCTGGAGGATGGTCTCGAAAAATCGGATAAGAGTTCCAGCAATTATTACGGCGAAGATGATCTGAAATCTGCCACTGTGGTCGAACTGGCGCTCAAGAAGCAGGATGGAGAAAAATCTTAGACCAAAACGAGCTCAAGGGACGTGCGCAGATGATACCTCATACAAGGCATGTATATTACTATGTCAGTGAAAAGATAAAGAACTCTTGTTGAAGTTGAATCAATCAGCGACTATATGAGTCCATAATGATGTTCACAGATGAGTATGCGTGGACGCCTGAGCAATTGCAAGACAGTGGCTGATACTTAGTTTGCGCAGCGAGCTTCGTAATAAGAGTATAAATGAATAATCATAACATGCACAGTACAGTGATGAGATGTTAGATGTGAGACCTTGATACGGAGGGTGTTTGGGCTCTCGACTCAATCGAGCAGAATCGAAAAGAAAGTGAGGAGGGAGATGGTATTGTTACATCGGTCATGGACGTTTGGACACGATGAGTTAGTCTCGATGCGAAGTCGAACAATGAAAAACAATTCTATGATGCTGATTAGTGTATGAGATAAAGATCGGAAGGAGTGCAATAGTCTGAGCGATCGAGTACATATATATGTATCGTCGGCTGGTTGACGCCTCGCGGAGCAGGGGCTCTTGGCAGCATCATGGCGCGACATGAGCCTACCGCGCACGGGGCAGAAGACACAGATGTTGAAGTGCGTCAACAATGCGACGTGTAAGGTCCTTGGCAGTCCGGAAGGAAGAGTCCGGGTCGAGCGGGCACGAGAAATGCGACGAATCACCACGTTCTGCGATGTGCTCTCGGACGTGATATTCGGCGTCCTCGTAATGAAAGTCCCTGCACGTATGGACGCAGCCTGGCCATTTGCAAAAACCGGTCGAGAACTTGCGGAGTGACGACTTAGGGGCAGCTGCACACCTTCGGCGTGCAGGGGTTGCCACAGTGGGCACTGCGGGCTCTTGCATCTGCGGGGTTCTATGGTAAAGAGCAAGTGCCGTGAGTAGCTTCGCCGCTGATTTGATGCTGTCCAAAGACTGAGCCTGATCCATGAAATCGTATGCGTTCTCGAGGGTGTCGAGGGTGTCGCGGATGGTCGAGTTCGACCTGTCCGATAATGGTCTAAAGATAGATTCGTCAGGAAACACGCGTGGACTACTAGTGTGACTTGCCTTCTGCACGATTGCCAGTGAGAGATACGATCGCGCTCTCACCTGCGGCTATAGCCTGCGCCACTGGTATAGGATGGTCAGGCTCGTATACCATGACAGGAGGTCCGCGAGCGTGCTCGTAGACGAGCCGGGCATGTGTGCCACCGTCCACGTCGGAGTTTTAGCATTTGCACGGCACGTCGGAGAAACAGGCTGGGATGAGGAAGACGTGATCGCAAGCTTGAGGTGGGTGAGCTGCAGTCATGCCGTCATCGTCCATGCTGTTGGGAAGGAGATCATGGGGGCGCAGCAGCGCTCTCGGCTCAAGACACGCCTAACCCACTCCCGTCCCTCCGTCGCACCACACTTCAAGTTCAACCTGGCGTACAAGTCAGGCTCGCTGCCGTACGCAGCGCAAGACATACAATGTCACACACATTGTAGGTAGACTATCGTCCATGGGTTCCTCCGAGTTGCGGTTGAAGACGGTGGCTCCGTCTGGTACGTCTTTTTCCGCAAATCGATGCACATATTCCAACCTTGCAGATGTCCACGAGCGCTGGCCGTACATCAAAGCCGATGCCCGTCGCGTCAGTGACGGTTGTTTCGAGTGCGAGGTTGATCAGCGCTGAGCGATAGTGGACGACGTTGTGCTGGGCATCGGGATGAATCTTCCCCAGTAAGATAACGGCTTGGGCCTGCGGGTACACAACTCACGCCCTCCGATAGAAGGTCGCGATGGGATTGCGGCGACGGCATTCGAACTCGCTATTGATGTGGCCACCGCGCCGGATACGCTCTCCCCCCGGATTGGCCGTGCAAACCTCGAGCGGATTAGGCTGGAGGTCGATGATTGCCCAGCATGAGCAGTGCAAGTATATGCGACGGCCCATCCAGTCCGGTACGTGATTCCTCTCCCCCCCTCGCCGTACTTGAACCGAAGTCCACGCATGCTGAGGAGCGCATATATGCACCCTTTCTCTAGCTTACTTCACGACAACGAACTTGGCCCACTATCCTCCAACACCAACCTGCCCATCTGCGGGAGTACCATACCTGCCTGCTCGTCCAGGTCTTCGACGTGCCGCGATCGTCCGAAGAACCGCGATTAAGGTGCGTGATTTTTCTCATTCCTCCTTCTTGACTTGTACACGCTCTCTGTGAATCTCGGCCGTTTGCATCGTCTTCTCTTACTATACTCTACTATATCCGCTTCCTGATAGACGCTGATGCGCGTTCGTAGGCTCATACTCTAGGCACCTCAGGACTTATAAAGTGTATTCATCTTCGCTACTTTAACCCTCGCAGGACCGTCCTCGACGAGCAACCTCGTCTGCCTACAACTCTTTCTGATCGTGCCTCTGGTGACTGCTGCCGACGCCAAAGACCATTTTTACAACGTCCCCGGAGCGATGCGATGCAAGTACCACAGTCCATGTCTATCATCCTCCCGCCTACACCCTCCGTTTCCTCAGACTACTGTGCGCGTCGCATACCGCAGGGATCACCACTGTCCCGCCCGCCTCCTCGCTCGTTCAAAGTGTTCCGTTGTCGTCCAGCGACCTGCCCCGCAAAGATGGAAAAGCTCCGACCGTATGTGCCCGGTCTGACCAAGACATCGAGCTCAAATTTGCTGAGGATCTGCGCGAGCGCAGCGTCGAGTGCGCGCACCCTCCCGATGCGGAGACGGATGTCGAACTGGTCAAACGGAAGTTCACGGCCGTCCATGAGCCCAGTTCTTGCTAAACATGTATCATAGCATATATGTGCAAGATAGCGACGTACGGTGGTCCTGTCGACGTCACAAAAGTAGCGTACAGGCTTGCTTTGGTGCACGAGTTGAGGAGAGCAACTCCTGACGATGCAGGATGCGCTCCGGGAACGTCGTCGGCAGCGCGATTTTGACCGCGTGAACGTTTCTGTGTTCTGGATACGATGTTCAAGCACGCTGTGAGCATACCGATTGAGCCTGAAAACTTCATACGAAAGCAGACACAGACGCACGCACGCAGTTGGCGACGTCGCGATGCGCCAGGATCCAAATTATACACGTCTATGGTCAAGGATCTTGTTATGTCGCGCCATACTCCAACGTCCACGCGATTGACCACCGCCTGGTTGAACAAGGTGGAAGCGTCTTGAAGGCCTATTGCAAGCAGTTGCCGTCTACGCCCTTCCCCATGTAGATTCAGAAAATGGCCCGGGGGATCCGTGGATGGCACCGTCTGGTCTTCGAGGAAGAAATCGAAATCGTTCTCGAGGTCATGATACTCGGAGACCCTGTACACGCTCCTCAATGAACTTGGACACGATCGAGCGACAGAACGAGGTGTACGCACAGATTTGCCCACTACCCCCGACAGATTCCTGACTGCGCACGCTGTGGTGCGAAAAGAGCTTGTAACAGGCTACGCATGTCCTTCCATCTTTGCGCGTACCTAGATACACTCTTCATCGGCTTCGATTATCCCATATCCAAGTCAGCCCGTTGCGCGCAAAAGATCGATCTTGTGATCAACTGCGCAATGAACTGGTTCAGTCCGAGCTGGCACAGATGTTGGACCCTGGGGGCGCGGATAATCCGACGGCAGTAGAGGATGGCTGGATCGGCTTATATGGGCGGCTTTGATAGCAATCTTGGGCGTAGTTGATGATCACGCATGTATAGTATGCAACAGAACGAGGTAGCGGTGCAACCGGTGCAAGACCAAAGGCTGGTGTCTCGCGCGAATCGTCGACCGCGGGCTTCAACGTTTGACTGCTGCTACGACAAGCTGCAAAAGCCACGCGTCCGGAATGCGTCCAATTTCCCATCCCGATTGTTTTGCGCTGCATCGATAGCTAAATTCTACAACTCAGATCTTTGCAGCTCGGCTGGAACGCATTGTTGAGCTGCCATGCGCAAGATTCGGACGACGGACCTACGCTAAGGGCTACCCGAGGGGACCTGTGATGCACCTCAGTCAACTCCAATTGCTCGGGAAACACATTCGCTGTAACACTCTTTCCTTGAAGTATACTCATCAACATCATGCTGTGGCCAATGCAACCGTCCGCTCTCACGAACATCAGTAGATCCCCCGGCACGCTGTCGACTGCACGAGTGGCGTACGTGCAGCGCAGCAACCGGCTGTTCCGCTACCGGGACCTCGTCGGCAATCTACCTACCTACCTACCTACCCCCAGCTTTAGCCCTCAGAACTATGTATCCAATGAAGGTATCTCGACTGAGTAGGGTTTCGCACAGCACGCTGAAACGGCATGCATGATCATGAGGGCTCGCTCACCTAAAGCCCTTCCACTGAGTGTGCTCGCTCTCCTTCCCCGTTCCCTCTGACTATCGCCACCATCGACGCACATCTACTCAACAGCTGGAACACTTGGTACACACGTGAATCGTCATGGCTGTTCGTAAAAAGATAGGCGATGAGTTCAGGAAGCTCAGGTCTCCCCCCGATAACGCTCGGGATGAGGGCGCTTCCTCCCAGCCCCTGGATCTCGCAACAGGCACGATAGGCGCGATGGTGAGTACAACTCTCTGGGACTGTGCACACGCAGGGAGGGCATCTAACGCTGGATATTGGACCAGGATGTCGACGAACCGCAGGCGACCGGAACCTCTCAACCACACCAGCGGACTAACGACATCGGCTCGCCTCAGGATGATCTGACTGTACAGTTGCATCATTGTGGCAAGCAAAGTCACTGCCTAATGTCCGTAACACACAGAAACACTCAGGTCGCGCAATCGCAGAAGCCGGAGGATATCGATCATCGGAGCAGACCGTCGCGCGGCGAGCCATTGATGAGGCCAAGAAAGAGGTCGCCACCATGCAATCTGATACACTGGTGGAACGAGGCGCGGCGGCAGTCGACGAACGGAAAGACCTGGCGCAAGGGCTGGCCTCGTCACCAAAGCAATGGGAATCGTTGTTCAGGCGTCTTAAGCAGTTCACAGAGCTTGTCGACAGATTGCCGAGGTGATCATTCGTGGTTCGGATTTTCGTGATTCCGAACTCATG